CGCGGCCATTTAAACAGTGTCACGGCTGCTAGTGTGGTCCAACACGCAGAAACTATTTAAACATATACATACAAAAGGAAAGGAAATAAAAGGACAGAGCGTAAACCAGACCTTAGAATGGCCGGACTAATACGCTAGAGATAGAGAATGGTCAAAGGGAAAGCCGAGGTCAAGGAGCCAGAAATACTCAGATACCGTTTAAACAAGCCAAGTCAGGGGAACCAGAATTCGGAATAACCAGGGAAAAGCCAAGATCAGGATACCAGGAAGTAATATTCACAAAGATAAACACACTCTAGGGAACCAGGAACAGGAAACCACGACAGGGCAAGGTACTGGGGTGAATTAGGGATTTAAATATCCCTCTCTAGGCTCTGATTGGTCAGAGGGTGACCTCTGACCCTAGAACGTGCGCATGTGTTGACGTCGTGACGTCACACGCACGTTCGTATAATTTTGGGGGGTGGAGCCATGGATGGACACGACCTCATGGTCGGCGTCATCTTGGATTTCTCTGAGCGGCGTGGAGGAACTGTTCCCGGCATTGCAGGAATTGGTGCGGTCGTGCCGGTCGGGCACGGACGCACATGGCGGCAAGCCAAGGGCCGTGACAAACAGAAATAATGTGCTTTTCACCTTATTTCTCAGCCACCTAAGGTCCTTAGAAGCCCATCAAAGCTTCCTTAATGCCCATGTTCATATCCTTGTGGAACACCAATTCTTCACTCATGGGTTGCTCATCACTCATAGGTTACTTGCGCTGAGAGGGTCCCACCATTTGCCTTTCAGCTTGTAGCTTCTGCAGTGAAACTCGAGCTGGTGGAATCTTGTCTGGCTGTTGTAGAAGTCCCCATTCCCTAAGCTTCCCCAAGCTTGCTTCGGGGTCATCATTAACATCCATAGCACCATTCCGCCATACCAGCACTTTCGTAGGAATGTCACCATCTGTAGGGTATTTTATGCTTGTGTAGCATTATGGTGGTTGAAGCAAATTCCCTTCTACGTGCCATCGTCATAGCAGAGAGGTCCGCAAATATATTAACCTCTTGATAGGGTTTAGGCAGTGCTTGTAGCTTCCTAGAGGCAGACATTAATTGCTCTTTGGAGTGGAAATAATGAAACCTTGTGATGGCATTTCTGCAGTAAATCTTGCAGGTCTAGGTAAATGGTGGACTCGATCTAGAGTCCATGCTGCGTCACCCAAAGTCGGAACCAGCATCTTTCACAGAGCTGTAATATATGCAGGCATCGCGTCCATGGAGATAGTATCAGCAATACCCCTGAACCGTGCATTGTTGCGGTGTGATCTATCTTCAATACAGGCCATTTTGTGCTTCAATAGGGTAACTTAATCTTGCAGTTTCAAAATCTTATCTGCCATCTCGTTAAATAGTTACATAGCCGAAAAGAGACTTGCGTCCATCAAGTTCAGCCTTCCTCACATATGTTTTTGCTAGTGATCCAAAAGAAGACAAAAAAATCCAGTCTGAAGTGCTTCAAATTTTGCAACAAACTAGGAAAAAATTTCTTCTTGACCCCAAAATGGCAGTCAGATATCTCCTTGGATCAAGCAGCTATTACCCAACTAATTAGAAATTATATCCCTGTATGTTATGTTTTTGGAAGTATTTATCCAATTGCTGTTTAAACATCTGTATGGTCTCTGATAAAACCACCTCTTCAGGCAGATAATTCCATATCCTTATAGTTCTTACTGTAAAAAACCCTTTTGTTTGCCTTAGATTAAATCTCCTTTATTCCACCCTAAATGCGTGACCTCGTGTCCTATGTACAGCCCTGTTTATGAATAGATTTCCAGATAATGGTTTGTACTGGTCCTGAATATATTTGTATAATGTTATCATATCCCCTCTGAGGCGCCGTTTTTCCAAACTAAAGAGATTTAATTTTTTAAATCTTTCTTCGTAATTAAAGTGCTCCATTCCTTTTATCAATTTTGTACTTTGTCTCTGCACTTTTTCTAGTGCCATGATATCTTTCTTTAGAACAGGTGCCCAAAATTAAACAGGCTATTCAAGGTGTGGTTCCAGCGATTTATAAAGAGGCAAAATTATATATACATTGCTGCCTAATTTGTTGTCTATAACAATTGCAAAATCCTTCTCTTGTGTGGTGATCCCTAATTCACTACTATTTACGGTGTAAGTTGCTTGTGCATTCTTGACCCCGAAGTGCATAACTTTGCATTTCTCTACATTAAATTTCATGTCCCATTTTAGTGCCCAGTACCCCCAATCTATCTAAATCCCTCTGCAGCAGATCAATATCCTGCTCACATTTGATTACTTTACAAAGTTTTGTGTTATCTGCAGACACTAAAACATGGCTTTCAATGCCTATTGCAAGATCATTTATAAATATGTTAAATAGAAGATGACCCAAAACAGAACCCTAAATGTACACTACTTACCACTTTTGTCCAGCTTGAAAATGTACCATTAATGACAACTCGTACTCAATCCTTAAGAAAATGTTCTACCCAAGAAGAAGAATATTCATCTAAACCAATTTCATTTAGTTTGAATACTAACCTATTATGAGGAACCGTATCAAATGTCTTGGCAAAATTTAAGTAGATCTCATCCACTGCAATACCCTGATCTATACTTCTACTTACTTCTTCATAGAATGCAACCAGGTTAGTTTGGCATGACCTATGTTACATAAACCCATGCTGATTATAGCTAATAACAAAGTTCTTCCCAATGAATTCCTGAATATTATCCCTTAATAGCTCTTCAAATATTTTCCCAGTCATAGAAGTTAAGCTCACAGGTCTATAATTTCCAGGCAAGGATTTTGAGCCCTTTTAAAATATAGTAACAACATATGCCTTTCTCCAATCCTCCGGTAAGATTCCTGAAACAAATGAATCTTGAAAGATTAAATGCAGAGGTTCACCTATTTCCTCACTTAGCTCCTTAAGTACTTGTGGGTGAATACCGTTAGGCCCCAGAGCTTTATTTACATTAATTTTCTTTAAATGTTGTAGCACCTTGTCTCGAGTCATCCAATCACAAGTTATCTGCAAGTTCTTTGCAGCAATCATCTGCATATCTCCATAGGATTGCTGTAGGATTGCCATAGGATCCTCATTAATATATACAGAAGAAAAATAGTTATTTAAAATTTTTGCCTTTTCCTGATCTTCATTAACTAACAGACCCATCTCTGTTTCCAGTGTACCTACACTTTAATTTTTTGTTTTTTTACAATTGATGTACTTAACAAAAACTTGGGTGTTGGTTTTGCATTCTTTGGCTATCAATTTTTCATTTTCAATTTTTAGCCACTTTAATTGCCTTTTTGCGAGCATTATTGGCTTTCTTATATCTTATATAGGATGCCTCTGATTTGTCTGATTTAAAAGCTTTAAATGCCTTTTTCTTATTTTTAATCTCGTTTTACTTCTCTACTAAGCCACATTGGTTTCAATTTGTTTCTTTTTTGTCGTGCCCCACAAAGTTCCTCTTGCCTGTTTTCCAATTGATCGGTCCTGCTGCCCTGAAATGCCAACTCTTTATGGATTGAGGCTGTAATCTTGTAAAGTCCTGCTGTAACATAGTACGAAGTTCCTGCAGCATTTTGCTAAGAATTATATCCATTGGTTCCATGTCATGCAGACTTTCCAAGGAGGAAAATGGTGCGGCCTGCTCATCGCCGCCATCTTGTGCCGGTTTTCCGATGTCTCTTCTGCTTTGCCTAATCGGATCCATACGCTTTAGCTGCTTTGAGGGATCCATCGGGTCCGCGGGTAAGTTAATGCTGCTCGGCTGTAATTTTTTTCACAAAGGCAACTGCAATCCTCAACTGGTTCAGCTGGTTCAGCTTGCTCAGCTCGTTAAATGCTCATTAAATGCTCATTTCACGCTTTTGGGTCCACCGAGTATGGAGCAATCACTCCATGCATCCTCTCTCGACAGCAGTCGGACACGCCCCCCCAGTTGATTGCAGTTCTAACCAGCAGGGATCAGCATACACATTTGTACTTCTAACCCTATAGTGTCCTTTAAGCAGACATTATTATTATAATTACATTTAATAACCACTTTTTGTTAGATATTCCAGCGGTATGTATTTGAAATGGAAACATATGCATTTGCCTTTCCAATTGTTGATTATGTGCAGTTTTGAGTATATTGCTTTTTAATTTTGCATAATTTCTATGTTAAATTAGCATAATCCCATAAAAGCCAAGTTAAATTATAAAAAGAAAACATTATACAGAGTGTTTCATGAAAGTGCATATTGATAGAAAACTGTATGACTTACCCATTCACTCCATCATAATCTCCTCCAATTCCAATTGACTCAGGGCCTGCTATTCCTTTTATGTAATCAAAATGGTCTAAGAAATAAGAATTCATCATTACCATATGTTACAGTCAATACTAATGTTCCATTTATTAATCCTGAAAACACACAAGGTAAATAAATATTTTTAAAATATATTTTAAGATATTCCAAACTTCAAAAGTTCTTAATATAATAAACAATTAATAATGTTTGTAAAAACAATTAGGAGGTGAGTGGTATAATAACAAGACAGTCTGATAGTAAAGGTGGTGGTGTAGGGTTTCAGCTTTCACCCAACTGCTCCTTCAAACCTCTACCCTCTCTTCCCTTCAAACCTCTACCCTACCTGCACCTCTCAGGTGTCAATTTAAAATACTAACCCTGGGGTCGGGGCCAGACCGTCGCGCTGAAAGGAAGCCCTCTCATGCAGCTCTGGTCCTGAGCCTGAATAAACACTGATTTACCGCTCACAAACCAACCATTTACCTTTCAAAATAATATATCTGAATAGAGAAAACCAGCCAGCATCACAAAGAGACTAGTCGGCGGCTGTAGACCCCACAAATGTGAGGACTCGGAAGGCTTGGGCCTACTTGATGGCATGAACCTGCGGCGTTATGGAAGCACCTGTCTTTCCCAACGTGCAAAAGGCGAACTGAGAGACCACACTATGGCCCTGTACCCTCCCCTCCCCCAGGACCCAGGGAGGTTATCCCGGTCACTTGTTTCCTGAATTAAACTGCAAGTTTCCACACATAAGTTTATGGTCATCAGCCTGCAATTGTTGGACGTTGGATGCAGCTCTACCCGTATGTACCCAGCCACTACATGGGAAGCAATACTTACACTGTGGAAAACACCCACTTGCCTTATCAAGGAGCGGATAAAACGACCCTTAACACACTCACCCAGGAGACTGCCCACGAATCACCCAGGTGCATCGAGAGGATTGCCGACAAGCAGTGGCCTCATGGCTACCGGGCTGTCTTGGGTCGGACAGCAGTGACCTCTACCTCTAGGAGATCCAGAAACCTGGAGAGTGTTACTTCCCGTTGCTGTGAGCCCAGCTAGGCTGGTCTGTGGGGGGCTGTGGCAGACCGGTGGCCGCGGGGCCATATAGACTATGCTTAGGAGAAGTAGCCGGCGATAGAGGGGGCCCACGGAGGCACCATGTCTGATTTACCGAGACTCTACTGGGACAGTGGAGGTGCAAAGGCCATCCGTTTGGTGGACTCTAGGAGAGGGGGATATCATGGACTCGAGTGCTCTCCGTACTGAGAAGCATGGTGAGGGGCTTTACCCAGAGCCGGGTGTTAGTGCATAGGTTGGCACCCACGGGCACCTGACGATGGTGCATTGGGTATGGCCCTACAGAGGCTTCACATAACTCCTCACTCTCACACGGGAACAAGGGCATGAAGGAAGGCATGAGACACATTCTCAGGCAGGGATAGCTTATTTTTCTTTTATTTCCTTAATTTCTTACTTATTTTTTCTTCTTTTAATATATATAACCTGGCTGCACGTGCTTGGACCAAGATCCCTGGTGTTTACAAGAGCACCCGACTAGGGATCTTCACGTAGGGCTCTATCCCACAGGCCCCCCCACACCCTCGGGGGAACCCTTCCCGCTTTATTTTCTTTTCCCCTTCTTTTATTTTATCACATTATAATTAGCCAGATCACTAGGGGGAGATATACACGTCACAACACAATATATAGTCTGGGCTGTGGATTCACAACCCCAGCAGCAGAATGGGGTAGATCATACAGCCTAGTTAATGACACCGTTTTTGTCACATGACAAATCATCGATAACCATGGGCTCCCAGGTGGCGACTAACATACGAGCTGCCCATGCGCTGTATCTTTCTTCTCGCATGTTAAGGCACAATGTTCACAGCTGTAACCCTGTATATTGATTTAGTTCATCGCATTACACCCTTTTTATTTTTAGGAAAAACACACAGGAAATAGGATAGAGCAAAGGAAAATTAACAACCAGACATACACTGTGTACTGATACTCACCTCTGAGGCCAACTTGAAATTTCACATATATGACCTATTACGTCGCATTGAGCCCTCGCGATAGGATTTTTTTCTCTTAAGTCCATATAATTTGTCATATTTTACTGCAATACGTTCACACTCCTAACTACAAATGCCTACAAATAGATACGACCCCTGTAGTGTACTATATTGATGCGTTGTTTTTAAGTTCTGTAAATACACTATTGCTACCATGACTAACTTTACTGAAATAATATTGTACACCAGCTTATACTGAAACATGTCCACACATGTCCACATTCCTAC